CAGGCCTATGCCCTGTCACAAGCACTGCAAAATTAATTAATGATTAACTACTTTTTTTTTGAGACAGAGTTCTCTGTGTAGCCCTGGCTGTCCTGGAACTCACTCTGTCGACCAGGCTAGCCTCGAACTCTCGAACTCAGAAATCCACCTGCCTCTGCCTCCCAAGTGCTGGGATTAAAAGCGTGTGTCACCACCGCCGGCATGATTAACTAATGAGTTAAATCTTTCACAGACCCTGAACACTCTGTTTTATTTATTTTATTATTTCATTAATTAATTTTTGTTCTTTGAGACAGGGTTTCTCTGTGTAGCACTGGATGTCCTGAAAGTCACTCTGTAGACCTGGCTGGCCTTGAACTCAGAAATCCTCCTGCTTCTGCCTCCCAACTGCTGGGATTAAAGTCATATACCACCACCACCTGACTTTAATTTTTTTTTTTTTGAGACAAGGTCTCACTATATTGATCAGGCTGATCTTGAACTCAGAGACTGTCCTTCATCGACCTCCTAGGTAAGTTACCATACCCTTCGAGGATTATTTTAATGAAACAGAAATGGTGGTGTAGGCTGGTCGTCCCAGCAGTCTCTGGGAAGCAGAAGGGTCAGGAGGTGAGGGCTATCTGTGGGTACATGGTGAGTTCCAAGTCAACCTGAGCTGTTTGAGAGATTGTCTCAAAAACAAGCAACTAACCCAAACAAAAACAATCTGGGTGCTCAGAAGGCAGAGGCAGGCAGATCTCTGTGAGTTCAAGGCCAACCTAGTCTACAAAGTGGAACTCTGTCTCAAAACCAAAAGGAAACAAAACAAAGATCCTACCCCCAAATCAGTTACAAAATACCATTGTGGCCTTGGTCCACTCACCCTATCCCCTCCCTGTGCCTGTTCTGTTGGTTATGTTGTTCCTTAAATCTGCCGTCTGGAGTTTGTCTCCTAAGCCTCCTCCCTGTAGTGTTCCTGCATGAAGGTGCAGAGCTTCCCCTGGCACGGAATTCAGTATTCCTCAAGTTTGACCTTGGTCACTGTATGTGTGTCTCACGTATTGAACCCTAGGCCTTTCCTGGGCTGGCCAATGCTTTACCACTCCTTTGTGCTTTGTGACAGGACAGGTAGGTAGCCAAGGCCAGTGTCAAGCTCTTTTTTTTTCTTTTTTTAAGATTTATTCATTTTTATGTATGTGAGTACGTTGTCACTGTCTTCAGACACAGAAGAGGGCATCAGATTCCATTACAGATGATTGTGGGCCACCATGTGGTTGCTGGGAATCGAACTAGGGACCTCTGGAAGAGCAGCTTTTAACCACTGAGCCATATCTCCAGCTCTTGATCCTTCTGTCTCTACTTCTCAAGGATGGGTTACCATACCCAGATCTTCTAGAACTAAAGCCCAGGCTGGCCTGGACGTCACTGAAGCAATCCTCCTGTTCCCTTCATTCTCCCAGTGGTGGAGTTAGAGACACGAGCCTCCGTCCCCAGCTTAGATAGTTTTGTTTAGTTTTGTTTGGTTTAATTTTTGCGCTAGAGACTCATGTAGCCCAGGGGTATCAAATTTTCTAAGCAGTAGTGGATGACCGTGAACTAATTCCTGGAGAACCAGGAATTCTCCAGGCCTCCCACTCCCAGGGTTCATAGGTGTCTGGTGCCCAGATTGTCTAAATTAGATTAAATTTAGATTAGATTTTTTTTTCGAGACAGGATTTCCCGTGTGTAACTGTCCTGGATGCCTGGATTAAACTTAGACGAAGGGGCTGGCCTCAAACTCAGAGATCCGAGGGCCTCTGTACTACAGGCGTATATTACCATACCCAACGATTTTTAAAAATAATGTATTTATTTTTATTTTTCAAACATGGTGCTTTGCTTGCATATGTGAGCGAGGGCAGTGAGGGCACCATATCCTAGGGAGCTGAAAAAGTTACAGGCAGTTGTGAGCTGTAACGTGGGTACTGGGAACCGAACCCAGGGCCTCTGGAAGAGCAGCCAGTACTCTTAACTACTGAGCCATCTCTCCAGCCTCTAGATTAGATTGATTATTTATTTAGGTTTTTCGAGATAGGGTTTCTCTGTGTAGCCCAGGCTGTCCTGGAACTCACTCTGTAGACCAGGCTGGCCTTGAACTCAGAAATCCGCCTGCCTCTGCCTCCCGAGTGCTGGGATTAAAGGCGTGTGCCTCGACTGCCCGGCTGATTTTATTTATTTTTAATTATTTAAAAACATTTTTTTTTAAAAAGACAGAGTCTCAATGTGTAGCCCTGGATGGCCTAGGGCTTTCTGTTGGCCAGGCTGACCTAAAGACTAAGAACTAAAGAGTTCCTCCTGTTTCCACTTCCTTATGATTAAAGGCGCGTGTCAGTCGCCTCACCGGCTGTATTTATATTCTTTCAGTTGATTTCTGGGAGGTCTTGCAGGTTGCCCAGCTTTAGCCTCCAGGCTCCTGCCGCCCCCGCCCGTCGACCCCCGACTCTGGGGTAGGGAGGATACGCTCCAGGCCCTGCCCCTGTCAGACTCATCAGAAAACTGGAGTGCTATGCTCTCCCAGGGGTTGCTGGTCTTCCAGGCCTCGCAGAAGGGTCCAGCCTGAGGTGACAGCTGGAGTTGAAAGACGGAATTCAAGGCGACTCCTGAAGTCCCCAGACCCCCTATTCTCGGAGGAGCGCCGGTCTCCGGGGAAACCGAGGTAGGAGGGAGGAGCCTCAGCCGTGGGCGTAGACGTCTGGCCTGGCACAGGTGGCCCCGCCTCCCGCGGCCCAGCCCGAGCAGGGCGGGCGCGGCCACCCGGGTGCTTAAGTGCTCCTAGGCTCCGGTCCCGGGCCGAAGTTCCGGGTCCCCCCGCCCCACGCCGGGCTCACGTGGCCGCCCGATTCCTTCCCACCTTCTTGGCTAGTGTCACTGCCTGGCCCGGGCTTCCACTTCCCTGTGGGGACCTCCAGGGTTTCCTCCTTTGAAGGCAACTTATTATACAAAAAGCCAATCAAACGTATTTGGGTGTCGAAAGGCACATTTATTTCTTTTTATTTTTGAGTCAGGGTGTCACCTTGTAGCTCTAACTGCCCTAGAAGTCGCTGTGTAGTCCGGCTAGCCTCGAACTCACAGAGATCCACCTGCCTCCCGAATGCTGGGATTAAAAGCGTGGGCTGCCATGCCCGGTTGACCCGTACTTTTAATTCGATTTATAAGAATGTGTTGGTAACCGCGGGGAGGGGGATCGATGCTTTGATATAAAAAAGAAAAAAAAGCAAAAGAAAGACAAAATCAACACGCTGGGCTTCGACCTCGGGCAGTTTGTAAATACATCAACATTAATAACAATGAATGAAAAACACCTAAAGTAAGGGCCGGGCATTCTGAAGCTGACATCTCGTCTATACAGACACACTGAACGCCAATGTAAGGATGGCCAGTCTCCATAGGAAGGGGCGCGCAAGGGGAAACTGAGGCCAGGCGCTGGCTCTCACTCCCCGCTGTTCCCTCTCGCGAGCCGGACCCACAGCCAGGTCGTCTGGTGGCTGTGACGTGCTGGAACCCGAACCCGGCAGGCCTGGTGAACCGGGATGTCGCCCGTCCCCTCCTCTGCCTTCCCCTCCCTCTCCGGACCTCTCCCACGACCAGAGAGGAAGTGGGAGAGAAAAGGACAAGGGGGTGAAAATAAAAAGGAAAACAAAAAACGCCGGGCGGGATCCGCGCTTTCCCACTCCCACCTCCGTCCTGCGGAGCCGCGCGGTGGCCCTGCGAGGGTCCGGGTCCACGCCCCACACCAACCGGGCCAGCCAGCGGGCTGCGGGGAAAATTACAAGGCCTGGAAAACAACCGTCCTTCCCCGCCCCTCGCCAACCCCTTCCCCGCGCTACGCCCCTGGCACAGCCGGGTGGAGGCGACTGTTTTATGTAATCGCGGGGCGGCAGGTTTGCTGGCTGGCTGCACCGGTGAGGGCGGGACCCCCGAGCTCTGCTGACACCTCGCGGCCCTGCAAGTCTTCCCCTGGGGGTCCCTGGTACGGCTTTGGGTAAATTGAGGCGCAGATGGGGGGGTGGACGGAGACCCGACACTCTGAAGCAACCTAGCTGTGCCTGCAAACTCTGGGTTCCTCGCAGTTTGGGTAAACTGAGGTTTATGGCGGGGCTTAGGGGGCCCGGAGCTCAGATGCAGACTCCTGATCCTTGCAAATATCCTTTCTCTTTCTTTCCTGGGTTCTTTGCACTACTTCGGTAAACTGAGGCCAAGGGTGACGGGAGCTCCGATGCAACCTCGCCGTCTTTGCAACAGATTCTTCTCCCTTCGACTCCTTGCATTACTTGGGGAAACTGAGGCTCAGGGGAGGGAGAGGAGGTACCGTGGCAGCGCCCTGGCGGCCCCGGAGAGAGGTCTGAGGCAAGGGACCGTCACTTCCTCGCCCTCGCCTCAGCTCCCTGGGCCAGAGGGCCCCCCACGCCCCGGCACCGGGTCCTCCGGGTGCGCACCGCGCTCCCGCCCCCACTGCCAACCCGGTCTCGCCCCGCCCCGGGCTTCGGGGGCACAGCTCGCGCCCCCTGAACCCCGCCCTAGGCGCACAGGCCGGGGCTGTTTATCTGCGGCCCCCACCCCCTGCACCCGAGGGGCCCCTCTTGCCCGCCCCCAGCACCCCGGGGTGCTCCGGGCCGTAGATAAGCCAGCAGGCTGGCACGGCGCCGCGCACGGGGCGGAGAGGTCACGGGCTTGCCAGGGGAGGGGCCGATGGGTCGCGGCTGCGCCCCCCGCCCGCTCGGCACCCCCAAATCCCTAATCGCAGCCCGATCTGCTCTCGCGGCGCAGCCCCGCGGGACGTGGCAAGAGCCGACCTGCAGAGCCTGTTCTGGCCGCGGTGGCCGGGGGGGGGCGGGCTGGGGGTGGGGGTGCCGGAGCTGCGGCACCTTTAAGACGAGGGAGGACCCCTCTTGCCCTCGGACAAACCAGGAAGGGAGTCGCGAGCATCATACGGGGCTTTGCGTACTGTACGGCTACTGTAGGGGCAGTGACGCCGCCGCCCGCCCGAGCGAGGTCCGCGCCGCGGGCTGCCCCGATCGCGCGTCCTCCGGGCCCGGGTCCCCGCGAGGTAAGCTGCCTAGGCTGAAGGGGACTCCTCTCCCGGAGAGGTGGGTTGTGTTTTTCTTTTTTTGTTTCTTTTTTAATTTCCTTGCAGGGTGGGGACGCGGCCGGGGGCGCAGTGCGCACCCCGAGCGCCCGTACAGAGCGGTACGGACTGGATGGGGGATCTGGGGCGCCTCCGCAGCTCCGGGGTTCTGGAGACCAAGGTTGCCCGGCCGGAGCCGGAGAGGAGTCGCGAGGGGGGGTGCTCCGCCCGGGTCCCTCCGGGGCGAAGGGCACGAGCCCGCTCCCGCTCCCTCCTCCCTGCTCGGGCGGCACGGCCTCCGGGCTCCCGGCGCACGGCCCGCGGGGGAGGGGAGCCGGGCCGCACAGAAGGCGGAGGTGGGGGCAGAGGGGCGCGTCGCGTGCTAAGTTTGCAATAGGGCCCGGGGCGCGCCGCTCCCCTTTCCGAGTGGTAGTGGGCAACCAGAGGGCGGGGGAGGCCTATCCGGGATTGCGCGCAGACGTTGGAGTTGGCCAGGATGGAGCTCCTTGGCGGAGGGGGGGAGGGGGCTGACAAAACAGGGAGGGGGGCTTTGCAAAAAGGAAAAAAAAAAAAAAAAAAAAAAAGAAAAAAAAAAAGGCCCGAGATAGGCGGAGGGAAGGGGTGAGGGGTGGAGTGTCTGGGAGGCGGGCGCGTCCTCGCCGTTCTTCTGGGCGCTGTAGTTTTTTCACTTATCTTCAGTGACGTTTTGGAAGGTGGTCAAGGAGCATGAACTACAAATCCCAGGGTGCCTCACGATAGCGGCGGGTCAGGGAGGGGCATTGCGGAGGAGGGGCCGTGAGCGGCAGACCAGAGGGCCAATGGACACTGGGAACCGTCCGGCGCGGCGCTGCATGGGGGTGGAGCCGGAGTCGGGGCGGGGCCTGCGTGCAGGGGCGGGGTTTGAGCAGAGGAGGCGGGGCTTCCGCGACTCCCTCGCCGGGGGCCGGTGGCGGTCCGGGCTTCCGGCTGCCGCCCCTCCCCTCCTGTTGTGTAACCGTTCCTAGGCCCCCCCCTCGTTCGATATTTTAATTTTTCCCCCTTTCCCTTTAGTTCCGGGCGCTCCGGGACGAGGAGAAAGGTTCCTCCACAAGCCTGGACGTTCCCTCCCCGAGGGAGGGTGTGGTGTCAGGGGGCCTCGGGGCTTCAGGCGAGGCCGGGGATGCGCGGCCTGGCGCGGGCCGGGCCGGGCGCGGGGGAGGTGACGGGCGGACCCAGATCCGGGGTAATTTGCATCGCCCTCCCCCCAGCCCGGGTGGGGATTGGCCGGGCGGCGGCGGAGGGTGGCGCGGGGCCGGGCTCAGCGTCGCCCGCCGGGGCTCGGAGCCGCCAGCCCGCCGCAGCCATCGTCACGGTCGCCGGCGCCCGCGCGCCGCCCGCGAAGGAGGTAGGAGCCGCGCGGCGTCCGGGCCGCCGTCCTTCCCCTCCCTCCGTCCCGTCCCAGTGGTGGCCATCGCCACCACGTGCGCCCCCGCCGCCGACCCCACCTGGGCCCGGCACCCGGGGGTGCTCCCTTTAGTGGCGGAAGTGAGAGACAGATGGCTCCCCTGTTTCCTCCTCTCCTTCGCCTCCCCTCCCAAGCAGACCTACTTAGCTCAGCACCCGGGGATGACTAAGCCCAGTACCCGTGGGTGACAGGCTCGGCGGAAGCCCCGCGTCTCCCCCCTCCACAGCTGCTTCCTCCGGCGAGGGTGCCTCTGGCCTCCTGCGTTAGCAGGCCGGCCCCCCTCCACCATCTTCCCCCAAGCCTGGGCCCAGGGCGTCATCCCGGGCGGCCGCTCCCACGCCGAGGGGAGCCTCCCCAGACACCGCGCCGACGACTGGTGCCTGGCGGGGCTGCGGGGAGAGGCCCCAGCCTTACGCCCCCTCCGCTCCGGCTGGATCCGGCTGGACCCCGGATTGCAGGAGGTCCTCTCAGTGGGGGACATCTGTTCATCCCAGGGTCACCTCCGCCCCGCGTCTCCCCGAGGGTTCCCAGTGGCTCCCCCAGCTGGGCCCTGGCACCTCTCCGGGGCTGGGCTCGGGGCTCTGTTTACCGGCAGGCATCGCTGTGGAGACGGCCTGGGGGAGGGAGGGAGGGGACAGAGCCCGGGTGGAAGACAGGCAGGAAACTAGATCCAACGGGGACACTGAAATTTTAATTTGCCGGTCACTTTGGGGCTGGGGGTATTTATTATTTAGTTGAGATTGGCTGTGGTGGAAGCCAGTCAGCACCTGGCCGGTGAAGGAGCCACACACCTCCGATCTGGACTGTTTGGGGCACTGAGGCCACAGAGGCCCGAGTAGCCTGGCGTGGGGACGGCTGTGGGGCAGAGCACCTTGTCCTTGGTGGCTTTTGGGTGCATTCTGTTCTTTTCGTTGAAGCTGTGTGACTTATGGCTTGGTCCTTGTCACCTACGGGGAAACTGAGGCTTGGACTGAGGAGGTCCCACGCGGGAGAGCCGGGGTCTGCCAGGGGCACGAGGGAGGTGGAAGGCACAGGAAGCAGAAATACTCAAGGTCACATGGCCAGTGGTCCTGGGTAGGGGTCTTTACAAGTCACCGAATGTCCTGGGGGCTCTGCCCACCTGTGTCTCTTCCAAGAGATCTGGATGCCTAAGTGACACCTGTCATCATCGTAGGGACTGCCCAGGATGACATTGAGCCCAGAGAGGGATATCAACACTCCAAGGTCACACAGCTGGAAGCTAGCACTCTGTCCTGGTCCTGGGCCACCCTGTGTGTTGAGCACCTGGTGGGAGCATGTGAGTGACCCAGAACCACCACCCGTGCCACACCTGTACCCCAAATAGGGCAGAGCTGTGGTTCTCGTGATTATTCCAGGAGTGCCTGGCATGAGGAGGGGTCCACATGTGACTAGGATGGGCCGTATGACGAGCTGTTGTCCTAGAACCCCTCCCCCCCAGGTAGGTCTGTGTCCTCTCTGGTTCCTTGGGGCCAGCTCAGGGCACGCCAGCACCTGCTGGGAGGTGGGCATGGGTCTCTGCCACCAGAGCCACTGTGAGCTTCCCCCACCTCTTTTGCCCCAGGCTCCTCAGTCAAGGCCCTGCAGGAGAGCAAGCTGAGGTGGGGCCCGCCATCCACCCAGGGGTGCCGCAGTCACTCTGTTCTGCCTCAGTTTCCCCTACTGTTCTCTTCTGGACTTCACTTAGCCAACCTGAATCAGGCTTGGAGTGCGTGGTGGTTGGAGCGCGCCTCTGCCACCCTGAATTGTCTGAAGGACCTGAGTCCTGCCAGCCTCCTGGGGGTGCTTCACAGCCTGTGCAGGCGCCAGGGGCCCAGGGCCCATGCCCTGCGCCCTGCCTGAGCTCCCTGGGGGCTGTGTCGGGGGAGGGGAGAGGCACCCTGGGAAGAACGAGTTAGGCAAGATCAGCCAGGTTCAAATTCCAGCTGGCTCTGTGACCCTGAGCTAGTGGCTACCCCTCTCTGATCCAGAACCCTCCCTTGTTGAGAGAGGAGGCAGGGATTCCAGACCACCTCTCAGGAGTGTGTGTCCGCAGGTGGGCGAGGGTGGGCCAGTTTCCTTCCACCACAGCCTCACGTCCACGGTGTGGGATCTGGAGTGTGGCCGGAGGACCGGCTCCTCCATCTGTCCCCTCAGCAGGCTGGGGCTGGGCTACTCAGTGGCCGTCCCCACCCACACCTTTCTGGTTTGACGGGAAACAGGCCTTCCTGGGGGCCCACCTTGAGCCAGGATGTGTCTGAGGGGCCTGGGGGTGGCGCGGGTGCTACTGGCGGCAGACAGGCCTGCCAGGGCCCTCACTTTCTCTCTGTGGGCATCTTGGATAGCAGGTGCAGCAGGCTGCTCTGTGGCTGTAGGGACCTAGGCCCTCTCCGTCGGCCGCAGTTGTCTCTGGTGGCAGGAGCCTCATCCCCTCCTCCTGGGGAGGGGTCTGTTCACTTGGAAGTGGCCTCGGCCTCCCTTCTGGCCTTCCTTGCTGTGTGGCACTCAGCGTGGGAACGGGGTGGGCCTGGGCCCCACCCTGTAGCTGGGTTCCCCACAGGCTTGCCTGTCCCCACCCCCACACGCACACACTTCCCACTGGGCCAGTTGCCTTCCTGCCTCTGGCCCTTTAAGGCCCAGGGCAGGAAGCCCCTCCCCATCATGGCAATAACTGCACAGTAAATGGCAGTGCCTGTCTGAGCCCTGCCTGGCCCTCTCCTGCTACCTACTCAAGGAGGGCAGGCGGGCAGGGGGCTGCCTGTGTGCCCTCAGTGACTTTCTGCCCCATTAGAGCAGACCCGGGGAACCAGGCCTGGTGGGCATTGGCATCAGGTCGGGAGCTGTAACCCATGGGGACTAATCTTGTACCACAGGCCAAGAGGGGGCTGAGGCAGGGGCCTGGCGGGCTGCACCTGTGAGCCAGCCTGCTTGCTGTGTGACCTTGGGGCGGCTGCCTGCCCACTCTGGGTCTTGTGAGAGGACTATAAGAAGCCTAATAACTTCAAGGGGTTGGCAGGCACTGTGGCAGGTGTGCCCGGTGGTCTCAGGGTCGGTGCTTGCTCTGCAGAGTCCCCAAGGAGCCAGAGGCTCTGAGGTGAGGGCCATGGCCTCTGACAGGAAGTCATCCAGGAGCCGGGGAAGCAGGGTGGAGGGTGGGTGGGGTGCTGGGGAGTTTGGAGTCTGGCCCCTCATTAACTGGCCTCACCCCCAGAAATGTGCAGGAAGGTGATGAGTGGCAATTTTCTTCCCAGCCCCCTTCCCAGAAGCCCCTCTTTCTGAAGGTTGGGCCTGTGGACCAGCCCTAACCCGTGTGACCTTGGGAGGACCCTAGCCCCTACCACCATATGCCTGTCCCCACTGAGCTCAGCTCCTGGAGCCTTCCTTGGCTATCCCTGCAGCTGGCTGAGATCACAGGGCTGCAGAGTGGCCCTGGCTGGGGTGGCTGTGTGACCTTGTCTGTCTGTCTGTCTGTCTGTCTCTCATCCATCAGGAGTGGAGGGAAGACTCAAGAACTGATTAGTTCCCGAACACTATGGAAAGGGGAGGGCAGGTCGTCTTGAAAGTAGCTACAGCAAGTAATTCTAGGTTAGACCAGAGGTGGGACCAGCAGCTGTCCCCTGATACTGGGTGTGTCTGCCTGCCAGGTGGGTGGAGTAGGGCGTGGGCCCGGGTCTTGGTTCCTCTGACCTTTGCTGTGACCCTTCTATATGGCCAGGACTCAGGAGCCTGTGCCCCGCCTCTCCAGCCCAGAAGGGGCCTGCCAGGGCCTGCCCCTTGCCAGTCCGCCGACTCAGCATTGAACAGCCTCAGAAATCCCACGGAGGCAGGCACAGGCAGGAGCTGTCGTGGAAGGACCCCAGCAGGTGTTGGGGAGGTCTCCCTGCGGAGGGACATGTCCCTGGAGCCGGGCAGAACCACAGCTCCGCACAGCTGATGAGATGGGCTTCGCAGCACCTGTGTGGGCCCCGCACCCTTGTTTCACAGGAACTATGGCTGGCCCTGGCCGGCCCTCTCACTTGGAGCTGAGTCTCAGGGCTGTTCCTGGGGTGAGGCCCCTGAGAGGCCCAGGTGGTGCCAAGGTCTGGGCGTGGCGCGGCAGGTGGTGCCCTGTTCCTGGAGAGATGGCGGATGGGTCAGGTGTCTGCAGGGGCCCAGGGACCCAGGAGCTCTGAGGGAGACGGGGGCTGTCACTTTTGTCAGTGGGTATGTGTGCGATGTGGAACGGGCTTCGTGGCCTTGGGTCTCCCAGGTCTGGCCCTTGACAAGGGACGTGTGCCCCAGCCACGACCGGGAGCCTGGGAGCCTTTGTACTTAAAATAGGGCTTCGGCAGCCCCAGGCCCTGGTGCTCAGTGGCTGGTGGGGAGCCAGAGTGGTTGTGCCCAAGGCAACACCAGGCTGAGTCACTTGGGTTTTTTCAGGCCCAGAGGCCCCAGGAGAGCCACCTTTGAGCCATTCCCAAAGGGACCTGGGTCACCCTGGCTGGGGGATGTCTTTAGGGTCACATGCCCCCTCCCTCTCCGTGGCAGGCTGTGGCGGGAGGGGACAGGCTTGTCTTGTCTGCCCACATGGTCTCCAAGGCCCTGGGCCAGACAGCAGATGGTGGCAGGGGGTGGAAGCCACCAACGGGGGCTCGTTGAGACTTCCAAGGGCTGAGCCTGGCATAGGGTTTCCCTTCTGGCCCCCTGGTCCCTGCAGTCACATCTGAAACTTCCCTGCCCTGCGTGGCCCCAGGGGGCGGTCTGCTTAAGAAGCTGGTAGGTGGGCAGGGGTAGGGGCACAAAGGACTCTGTCACCAGCCATTCTTGTGGGGAGAGACCCACTATGGACTGTGCCTCCTGATGGCCTCTGGGTGAGGGAGGGGACAGGAGGAACCCAGAGGCCTGAGGAGGCTGTGGAAGTTATAGGGCCTTGTCTCTTCTGGGAACAATTTCCAGTGGCCCCTGGCCCTATAGTGCAGGCAGGCTGTTCTGGATCCAGAGGAATGTGGGCCTTGTTGGGTGGCGAAGGGCAGCCTGGCTCCCTGGAGAGGGCGGAGGGGTGGGGACAGCGCCAGAGGGTTGCACAAGGCCGTGGGCAGATGAGTCACAGCTGTGGGGGGGGGCAAAGAGGAGGAGGGGTGGGGTGGGTGGGACAGCCCAGTGTCCCCTCTGCCAGGCTCCCCTAGAGCTGGCTGCCCATTTGTCAGATGGGCAGTCTGAGGTCTGGAGCACCATCCTGGACAACATAGCACTGTGGACAGGAGCCCCTGTCCCTGCCCTGAGTGTGTGGAGTGACATGGGGGCAGCCTGCTCTCCTCTGTTATTCACCAGTCAGGTCTGCCTGGCCTTGGGGTACAATAGGAAGGGAACACCCCAAGTGCACAAGTCCCGGGCAGGCTTGGGTCCTGTTGTAGTGCCAGTTTAGTCCTGGCCTCACTTTAGGGCCGTGGATAGGTGGGTTCCGTCCCCGGCCCATGGCTCCTTTTTGGGCCTCCAGGTGCCATCCCTGGAGAGACTGAAGCTGAGGGCTACCTCAGGACCCCATGTCTGGTCCGTAGGCCGAGGGAGGCCCTAACCATTCGACCTCTTTCTCTGTCCCATGGTGTTCCCCTGAGGAGACTGTGGCTAGGCTCCAGCCAGACACAGTCCCTCCTGCTGACTGCCGCCCTTGTCTGTAGGTGTCGCGGAAGATGGCCGGCGGCGTGGACGGCCCCATCGGGATCCCGTTCCCTGACCACAGCAGCGATATCCTGAGTGGCCTGAATGAGCAGCGGACTCAGGGACTGCTGTGTGACGTGGTGATCCTGGTGGAAGGACGTGAGTTCCCCACGCACCGCTCGGTGCTGGCTGCCTGCAGCCAGTACTTCAAGAAGCTGTTCACGTCGGGCGCCGTCGTGGACCAGCAGAATGTGTACGAGATTGACTTTGTGAGTGCCGAGGCGCTGACGGCGCTCATGGACTTCGCCTACACAGCTACGCTCACGGTCAGCACAGCCAATGTGGGTGACATCCTGAGTGCCGCCCGGCTGCTGGAGATCCCGGCCGTGAGCCACGTGTGTGCTGACCTACTGGAGCGCCAGATTCTGGCGGCCGATGACGTGGGCGATGCGGGCCAGCCCGACGGGGCAGGCCCCACGGACCAGCGCAACCTACTGCGCGCCAAGGAGTACCTGGAGTTCTTCCGCAGTAATCCCATGAATAGCCTGCCCCCCACCGCTTTCCCGTGGTCTGGCTTCGGTGCCGCTGATGATGACCTGGATGCCACTAAGGAGGCCGTGGCTGCTGCTGTGGCTGCTGTGGCTGCAGGCGACTGCAATGGCTTGGACTTCTATGGCCCAGGGCCTCCGGCCGATCGGCCCCCAGCGGGCGATGGAGACGAGGGTGACAGCACCCCAGGGCTGTGGCCTGAGCGGGATGAAGATGCCCCGCCCGGAGGGCTCTTCCCGCCACCTACTGCCCCGCCGGCCACCACACAGAATGGCCACTATGGCCGCGCAGGGGCTGGCCCTGGTGAGGAGGAAGCGGCGGCGCTCTCTGAGGCTGCACCCGAGCCGGGCGACTCCCCGGGTTTCCTGTCAGGTGCTGCAGAGGGTGAGGATGGGGATACCGCCGATGTGGATGGGCTGGCGGCCAGCACGCTGCTACAGCAGATGATGTCGTCAGTGGGCCGGTCGGGAGACAGTGATGAGGAGTCACGTGCAGATGACAAGGGCGTCATGGACTACTACCTGAAATACTTCAGCGGAGCCCACGAGGGCGATGTGTACCCAGCCTGGTCGCAGAAGGGTGAGAAGAAAATCCGGGCCAAGGCCTTCCAGAAGTGCCCTATCTGCGAGAAGGTGATCCAGGGTGCGGGCAAGCTGCCCCGTCACATCCGCACACACACGGGCGAGAAGCCCTACGAGTGTAACATCTGCAAGGTTCGATTCACCAGGTGAGCCGCCTAGCCCAGCGGGCCCGGGCGAACCGTGGGGCCGGGAAGCCCAGCGCCTCAGCCTCCCAGGTGTCTCTGGGCCGGGGCTTCTATCCTCTTCTTTCTTGGGGCTGTGCCTCCTCTTAGATTTGCCCTTCTCCTTCCCCACAATCGAGAGGCTGCTGGTTGGTCGCTGGCGTCACTTCACCACTATGGTTTTGTTTCACTACCAAGACCAGGTGGGCCTGCCTGGAAATCGCAGAGGTCCTCCTGTCTCTGCCGCCTGAGTGCTGGGATCACAGGCCTGTGCCCCTGCACTGGGCTCCCCAGCCAGCATCTGTTAGGCACCGGCCAGGTCCAGGAGTGCTGTGCTGGACACTGGGCCAGGGTCCCACAAGGCCACCAACCAGCTCCAGCCTCCCCGAGAGCATTCAGTTGAGCAGGGGGAGGGCTTTGTAAGCAGAACAGCTGTGCAGAGTCCCTGGGGCCAGTTAGCTCGGAGGGTCTTTGGGCCCAACCAGTAGTGGGTGTAGGGGGGAGGTCATGGGAAAGAGCCGTTGGGAATTCAAGGCCAGGCCAGGAGCGTTTCAGGATTGGGTCTGAGGAGCCCAGAGTCAGTTCCTTGGCTGTGTGAACCCAGGGCAATCCAGACCTGTGCACGTGTGCATGCTTGTGTGCCTGCACGTATGTGTGTGTGCACACATGTGTGTGTGTATGCGCGTGCGCGCGCGCGCGCGCGTGTGTGTGTGTGTGTGTGTGTGTGTGTGTGTAGGGGTGACTGGCAGCCAGGGGCACAGCAGCCAGGCCCAGTGACTCAACGCTACCCCCTGCCCTGGGGTTCCCCAGCCACACCTACCAGGCCTGAAGAAAGAAGCCATTGTCTTAACTTCCTGGCCCCACCCGACCCCCACCCCAGCACCCTGGCCCCCTCCCCAGAGGGCAGCAGGGAGGGTGCGGCAGGGCTCCAGTGCCCAGGAGTGCCAGGTGGGGACAAAGAGCAAGTGCCATGGAAGGTGGTGGCTTTAGTAGGTGAGACTAGCGGGTGGGAAGGCTCCTCCCCCAGGGAACATCCTGCAGTACCATGGGCTCTGGAGGGACCAGCGTGGTGGAGGTCCTGGGTCACCCAGCTGCCACCTCACACACTTTCTTTTTACTCTGTGTGTACCTGGCTCCCAGCCTGGGGCTGGACCTTCTTCCCCTCAGAGAAACAGACTCAAAGACTGGCGCCTGCTGAGGCCCTTCTCCTGTGGCCTACCTGCTTACTCCTTCTCTAGGGCCTTCCCTACCCCAGCCTCACCCCCACCCCCTAACCACCCCCCCAGCCTCACCCCCACCCCCTAACCACCCCCTCTAGACCTGGAGCCCAGGGGCCCCTGTGAGTCACAGTGAGCGTTGAGTAAGCCAGGCTTGTAGCAGCCGGGGCTATAATTACTCAGGCCAGGGCTTGGGGTGATGAAACTGGGGCTGCCTCCCACCTCTACCCTTCCTCTGTGTGACCCCTGGCCTGCTGTGCAACCCCAGACCAGTTAGTTCCCCCCTCTGAGCCTTCTGGGGAAATCTCTGTACAAAGCTAGGAGAACTAACCACTGGGGTGCTAGCTAGGTGGGGCTTGTGCAGAGGAGAAGCTGCTGACCCCCAATACTGGCTGCAGATAGTGGGAGGGAGGTTAGCAGGCCTGGGGGTTCACTGTATCTAAGTTCTCCTGGTACAGCTGAGCTAGAGTCAAGGGTCTGGTGCTACCCTAGGGGCAGCAGGGAGCACTGGGGGGCGATGGGGTGGTGCCGCTGACAGACTTGGAGCAGGAGTCGGCTCTCTGGGGATTGGCAAAGGAAGCCATCAGGGTTGCTGGAGGATTGTGGATTCCAGGCCAGCCTGGGCTACGTGGGGAGCCCAAGCCTCAGCACAGGACAGACACAGACTAGGAAATGTTCCCCAGGTCAGGTGCAGGCTGAGGCGGTGTGGGAGAGGGGAGTGGAGCCCCAGGCTAGTTGGAAGGAGCAGGAGCTGTGTACACTCTGGGCACTAGGCCCTGCCTTTCACAGCTTGTCATCTTCATCCCCTCTGCTGGACGCAGGGCTGGCGGTGGGACTGGGGTGGGGGCAGGTAGGAACCACGCACTGGTTCCTGATCCCGGCACTCAGGAGGCTGAGGCAGGAGGATGACAAGTGCAAGGGCGTGGCTATGAGAGGCCCTTCCCCTTACCAGCCCTGCGAAGGCCCCATGTCCACTAACCACCCCAGTGTTCACAGACAACTCAGCAGCAAAGACACAGTGAGACCTTGGAGTGTCAGGACTGTGGTGCAGGGACGTGAGAATCTGGATGTCGGGACTGGAGGGGGGGAGGGGAGTGACTGATGTAGGACTTTTTTGTTTGACTTGGTCTCTGTGCGTAGACCAGGCTGTCCCAGAACTGCATGTAGCCCAGGCTGGGCTCCAGCTCACAGATATCCATCTGTCTCTGCCTCCAGAGTGCTGGGATTATGGGTGTGTGCCATCAAGGCATAGAACTTTAAGGATTGAAACTAGATTTCTAGAGTCCCCAGTGCCATAGTTGTGGGTCTGGCATCCAGCAGGCACCCAGTAACTCAGTTCTGTTGGTGCTCAGGCACAGCAGCCTCTGCCTGGCTGTTGAAATGAGAAAGTTACTCAGAGAGGTTTAGTATTTTTCTGTGTTGTACAGCAATGACAAGTGCCAGCTTTGGCCCACACTCTTTGTCCCGTTTTACTGGTTTCCCCCCCCCTTGGTTCTACATGGGAGACAGGTGTCTGGGTGGGGCCTAGGGTCTCCCCAGGTACCCGCTGACCATGCCCCGCCCTCAGACAGGACAAGCTGAAGGTGCACATGCGGAAACACACGGGCGAGAAGCCGTACTTGTGCCAGCAGTGTGGCGCGGCCTTCGCGCACAACTACGACCTGAAGAACCACATGCGGGTGCACACGGGGCTGCGGCCTTACCAGTGCGACAGCTGCTGCAAGACCTTCGTGCGCTCCGATCACCTGCACAGACACCTCAAGAAGGACGGCTGCAATGGGGTCCCATCGCGCCGCGGCCGCAAGCCCCGAGTGCGGGGTGTGCCACCCGATGTCCCTGCTGGGGCCGGCGTGCCCCCCGGGCTCCCGGACGCCCCGCGCAACGGCCAGGAGAAGCACTTTAAGGACGAGGAGGAGGACGAGGAGGAGGCCAGCCCTGACGGCTCGGGCCGCCTGAATGTAGCGGGCAGCGGAGGAGGCGATGGTGTGGGTGGCCCCGCGGTGGCCGCCACCGAGGGTAACTTCGCAACCTGACTCGTATTAAAACAAACCAAAAACAAAACAAAAAACTAAGAACAGAGAGAAACCACCACCCACCCCCAGCACCACAAGTAAGCAGTTCTCTGTCCAGACGCCCTCCATCCATCCGCGCGGACATGTGTGCGTGTATATACCATGGCCGCGGGCGCCTGCCTTTCTCAGATCCTTAGGATGTGGCCCCATCTGCTCCTGTGCCCCTGGCCTGTCCACCAAGGGGTCCCACCCAGGGGCCCAGCCTGCTCCTGGCTAAGGCGAGGGTGATGGGGACCCCAGGACAGGCGCCCGGCTCCTTGCTGGTTGGTTTTAGGGGGGTCTTAGACAGACCTTAAATGTTCTGTCCACTATGAGTGGACGTTAAAATGGTCCCCGTCTCCCCACCCTCCTTCCTCAGGGCACTTACTAAAGAGGGGGGTGTCCCCTCGGCCTCCCTCCCTCCCTGCCTGTGGCCTCGCATCTCTGCACATCCACCCTGGCCACCACTGACATACAAATCTATTTATTCCCATGCCTGGATGGCCAGAGTGGGGATTTGGAGGGCCGCTGGGGTCCCCGCCACCCACTTTCACGGCACTTACACCTGACGGGGTCCTCAGGGCGACCCCCCAACCTTCCCATCTCTGCTTGGCCGTGCCCCACCCTGTGTTCAGAGATTGAAAATTCGTCACCCCACGCCCCACTTTTTAAGGCACTTTTTAGATCTATTTCCCCTTTTCCTCCTTAAAGACAGTTTATATAGAGAGATATATATATATAGAGAGAGAAATATATAAAATATTCTTTTCCTCAGAGGAGCCGGCAGCAGTTTTGGGTGGACATAGCCAAGATCAGAGGTAACCCCAGGGACTCATGCAGAGGCAGGAGAGGGAGGGAGAGAGGCCACAGCTTAATGTCACAAAACAGCAATAAAACCCCAAGATTTTAGTAAACACGAAGGCAGAACATTAAAAAAAAAAAAAAATCAGCAACAGCACCGCCAGCCACGCGGGGATCTTGGCACTTTGTGATGAACGGGTACTTTTCATTCTTAAGAAATGTTTACAAGTTGCACCCAGCTTCTATGAAAAATTGAAGAGAGAGAGAGCAGTGGGAAGTAACTAAGTCAATTTATTTTTGTATAAAATAAAAGAACCCCAACCCATTGCTCCAGTAGAATCCACTTGCGTTCCCGAGACTCAGGGCGGGGCGTCCAGGGCGCCACGGGAAGGGACCTGGGGGTCCGCTTGGCCTGCCTCCGGGGCTCCCTGAGTCTGTCAGGGGCCCCTGTCCCCCAAGTTATTTTATTTTCTCTTTTGTCTCTGTAGGAGACCACAGGCCACCTGTCCTGTCCTTCCCAGCTCAGGGATGTCCCCGAGAGAGGGCTGGTCCTCGGCTAGCCAGACCCTGTGCCCCCGTCTGGTCCCCCCCGTGTGGTGGTCCCCCTCTTAGGCACCCCCTCTTTTTACTCAAAGGCACTGACTGTAACCCAGGGGCTAGCACCTGAGCCCCCACTCCCCAAACTCTGGCTTCCCTCAAAGGCCCGGTATTGACCGAGCCACAGGCCACGTACAGGGGCCGGGGTTGGGGGACATGGCTCCCAGGTGCCAGGGCGCCCCCATGTCAAATCCTGTGGCCAAGGTGGAACCAAACTTGGGACCTTGTCCATGCACACTCTGCCCAGCCCTTCCCAGTGGGTGCCGGCGAGGGTAGAGGGTGTCCCTGTGTCCCCGTCTGACAAATGTCTTTCTTTGGTTTTAAAGGGAAGCTCATTAAGAAGGCCGCTTTCCAGTTTCTAGCAGAGGGGTTTCCTTTCTAACCTCTCCTACCGCGGGAGTCTCCCCCAACCCCTTCCCCCATGTCTCAGGATCCCCCCTTGGGGCCAGCAGAATGGGCCCAGGGGCGGGGTGGTGCTGGCCTCCCCTCGCACCCCACTTCCGCAGTGAGCTGTCCCGGGAACTGTGCTGTGGAGGCCGAGTTGGGCCGCAGCCCCGGTTCCCAGACAGGTCAGTCCCTCCATCTTCTCGCAATAAAACCAACTTTAATCACGTGTCATCCTGGCCAGTGGCCACTAGACTTGGGGTGGATGGAGCCCTTGGGGATTATGGTAGGGTGCCCCATAACCTGCCAGCGACAGCGCAAACCCCCTTGGGAATTGCACTAAACCCTTGCCCCTCGCTCCGCGCTCAGCTTCTGCCCCCCACACCCACCTTGCCTTAACCGCCAGCCCGTCCTAGGGGGCCGCAGCCACCGCATGGGCCCAGCGCCGGGACATCCCCCGCCCCCTAAAGGCCTTCCCCTTCCCCCCAATATACTGCAATCACATACTGTATATAGAATGTGGATCGATTTTTACAAATTTTTATTCTTTAAATTAAGGCCGTGATAAAAGTTGCCAAAGAGAATTGTGGAATTCACTAGAGGTTTGAGCGGAGGGTGCTGTAGAAAGATTTTATTTGATTGTTTGGGGTTTATTTTGTGCGTGTGTGTGCGCGTGCGTGTGCGTGTAGATTCTTTTTCTTTTCCCCCCCCCTTTTTTTTTTAACTGCCTGGTACCAATAACAAAAAGAAAAAAAAAAGAAAACAGAAACTTGTTACTTCCATTATGGTGAATTTGCGTGTGTGAGTGTGTGAGACAGAAGGGCCCAGGCTGTGGGGTTCTGGGGACCCCAGTGCTGGGGAGGGGCCGCCGGCCCCGCCTGTGACCTGAGCAAGGCCGCCCCTGCTGAGGAGAAGCTGCTCTCTGCCTTCCTATCCCTACAGGCCTTTCGAGATTAAGAAAAAAAAAAAAAAAAAAAAAAGAAAGAAAAAAAAAGAAAAAACAAATCTATATATCTATAGAAACCAATGAATGTAAGTGGCAGACCTGGCCCAGCCACGGCCCCGCCACGCTGGGATCGAGTGGTGGAACCAAAGTTGGTGCCCTGGGGTGCTCACTCCGGAGGACCCTGAGCACAGCTCACCTGAGGGGCTCTGCTGGGTCCCCTTAGGTAGCCAGGGAATGCTACCACTGTACCAGGCACAATGGCAGCCTCGAAGTCCAGGTGGAACCCAGGCTGGTCGTTCAGGGAACAGACAGTTTAAGTTAGCAGGGCATGTGGGGGGGACACAGGCTGAAAGGAAAAATAGAAAAAAACAAAAAAAAAAACCAAAAACCAACAAAAAAAGAAAAAGCAAAATCCTATTTTTTGAGAAAGAAAGATATTTATATTTGCAGTTTTATTTTAAAAAGTTATTTAAGCTGAGGAAACGGCCTCCCGGAGTTCGGGGTGGCTAGCACCGGACGGGTCAGGGGTCTTGGGGGGCTCCTCACCCCAGGAATGAGTATCTCAGTTCAGAACTAGCTCGCACTAAATATATATTGATTTACCTTTGGGGGGCAGGGGGCCAAGAGACAGAGGGCAGGGGAGCCCCACCCCAGGCCCAGAACGAGGTGCCTTGGAATTTGGGGGCCCAGGCCTGGTGCATGGGGGTCCAGAGCACAGAACAGACATTCCACTGACTGGATGTAAGAATCTTTCTAACAAGTGTGGGAGGCAGAACGAAAACAAATCAATTGATTAAAGAAAAATGCACTTTTTGGGGGTGGGGGGACAAGCTTTAAAAGTAATTAAAAAACAACAAAAGATTATGAAAAATCCGAAAAAATAGAATTCATTTTTTCTTGTACATAAAAGAGAAAAACCCAACCACTAAATGCAGCCTGTTACGATCTCTCTCTTTGCCTGGTCTCTGTGTTCTGTCTTCTTTGGGGGGCGGGGGGGAATGGGTCTGGGAGGCACCCAGTCTGCCTGGTCTCACATGTCCTGTAGGTGGGGCCTGGTAGAGGGACCCTGCAGGTCCCAGGGTGGGTGGTGGGTTTTCCCAGGTTTTTCCTGGGAAAGGACAGATATCCGTGGGCCAGCTGGGCTGGTCACCAGTCCTGGCTCAGACACCCCAGCTTCAGGGTGTTGTAGGCCCTTGGGTGGGTTGTGCCTGGATTCTAGAAGGCCCCCATGCTGCTGTCCCCACCCAGCTGAGCTCCAGTGACCTTATCAGGCCTAGGGGACCGGAAACCTCAGCTGGCTGTGGACAACTTCCTGTCCTCAGGAGGAAGCTGGCCTGGGGCCCCTGTCACTGGGGAAGGGGATGGGGTGGGCTTGGGGTCCACTCTCTGCCTCTAGGCTCTCTTAAGGTGTCTTCCCACTTGTTCAGCTGTAACCCAGGCAGAGCAGATGAGTCGCTCTGGATCTTGTGTCCACCCTGGAGACCTGGGTGTTGGGAATCCATTAGACCGGACAGCTTTAGCCTGAAATGTCTATTCACAGGTGACTGTCACAGCTCTGGGTGGGAGGGGCTTCCTCGATGGCTTCCCTGGTGACCATTTCCCAGATCACAGACTGGCATAGCTGGGTTGAGCGGGCCATACAGTGCCCTCTCCCATGCTGAGGTTCCCAGTAACAAGCGTTGCGCAGTCCTCCCGCCATGCACTTGAGTCTCCCACCGGCCACATCCCTGAGTGGCAACTGCACCAGCACATGGGTTTCTCACTGAGCATAAAGACATCCAGGTCCCTCCACTCTGCGTATGAGCCTCAATCCTGATCAAGGTCGAGTAATACTCCAGTGTATTTTCTACACAAATTTTTGTCAGAGTTCAAATTTCTGTGTGGGAGGGAACTCGCACCAGGGCCCACCTAAGTTGCCGGTGGTAGGTACTCCGACCAGGGACCGAGCCTTTTGTTTGGCCATCCCTGCCCCTAGCGTCCTGGTAACATCAAAGCCAATCCGTCTGGCTGCCCAACAAGCAGTCTCCTGGGCTAATTCATGTCCCAGCCCAGTTCACAGCGCCTACGGAAACTAGCCTGGGCTACAGAGAAACAGATGGTCAGATGCAGACATGCAGGACCGGCTATTCTTCGTTCTTTTTTTTTATTTGCATTTTTAAAAAACAATTAAATTAGAATACAAATATTAGAAAAGAGTGCCGCGTGGCTGGCCAGGGCCCCGGCCTCCCGGCGAGTTCATGCGGTGACACCGCCAGGCAGCCCAGCTCCAGACCGGACCCGGTATTGCTTCCTGACAGAGTCGGGTGGGGAGGGTGGCAGGATGCCCCGGGGTCTGCCTGGCAGCGGGGCGTTGGAAGAGCGAGGCTCCCGAGGGTAAGGAGGCAGCCGGGGAGCCCCACGCCGCGGGTCACACAAGAGCAGGGCGACGGCGCCCAAGCCCGCGGCCGGCTGCCCCATGGGGAAGTTAACCTGAATGAATTGGAGTTACCGAGGTAGCTGGCTAGAAAACGACACCCCCCCACGCCACCCGGGTCCGCGGCCCGCGCCCGGCCCCACGACACCACGTTATTGCACATTGTGGCCGCCGTCCCCGGCCCGCCGCCCCACCATGGCTTCTCAACTAAACTGCTCGCGACCGGGCCAGCGCTCCGGGGTCAGGGCTCAGCCTCCACGCAGGGGAGCGGGGACAGCGCCGGCTGCTGTCCAGTGTCCGAGGTCCCCGCGCCCTGCGGGCTGCTCCGGGAGGTGCGTGCAGGCTGCCGGCCTGTGTAAGTGTTTATTTTCTCTTGTTTTTGTACTTTTTTTGTCATTTTACTTTTTTTTAATCCCCCCAAGAGGAGAGTCCAGAGGTACAGGAGCCGGGAGCCGGGGAGGGGTGGGCGAGGGAATGACGGGCGGGGGCGGCTCCCGCCCTCCAGCGCCCCGCAGCGGCGTCAGCACGCGGGCACCAGGCCCTTCTGGAATGGGCAGCGGCGCTTCGGCCGGGGGCCCTCGTCATCGTCCTCATCGTCGTCCTCGTCCTCATCCTCGTCTTCTGAGGAGGACGAGCTGTCCAGTGTGAGATCCACCACGTCGGCGCCCGTCTTGCCATTCTCCAGGCCGCCCGCCGCCCCCGCCCCGCTGCAGGCGCCGCCTGGGCCGCCCAGGCCACTGCCCATGCCGGGGGCGCTGGAGGCTGGCGCGAGCCCGTTGGCATCCGAGGTGCCTGTGGGGACAGGGCGACAGTGCTCAGCCATGCGGCCTGGCTGGCGCGGCGCGGCGCGGCGGACGCGGAGGGTGCTGTACATGGAACTCACCTAGCACCAGGATGGGGCCCTGTGGGCTGCAGCTCGGCTCCTTCTCTGCACGGATTGGACGCCAGGAACCTTCTGCCACGAACTCAATCTCATCCGCGTCCTCACACTCACTCAGGATCTTCGACAGCAGTCTGTGGGCACCAGAGGGGACAGGTCTGGGCCCAGGCACAAGGTGCACACTGCGTGGTGCCCCCATGTGCCTGGAGAATTTACTCCTACACATTCTCTGAGGTCCTGCAGGCTGCACAGAGCTCTGACTAACTTCCCACAGCACAGGGCTGGGATCATGTCGGCTACCAATGGGAGGGCCCTGGTTATGCTGGGGTGGTGGCATAGGGCTCCACCAAGGGCAAAGGCACCTGTCCAGCCTGCCAGCCCCGGCTACAGACTGCCTGGAGCTTAGGAGAAGAGAGGGCTTGCAGTGGAAGGCCCGCAGCTGGGCTGAGAACAGAGGGCAATTGAGTCCAGCCTACAAGCCCAGTCCCAGGGGTGTCCTTATGCTGCCCAAGGCTAGAGCTGGACAGGGAAGTGGCCACCTGCAGGCTGGGGGAGCTAGGCTGGTGGCAGCTTCCAGAGCCTCCATTTCCTCACCAGGAACATGACAGATCAAAGGCTGGGACCTTCTGGGAGTGGGCCAGGCTGGAATGGCAGGTTCTAGGGGACACCCTCAAGTCCCTCCTCCCAGTCCAAGGACAGATGGACTTGCCTGGGGACCCGAACAAGTAGTTCTGAGGGCCTCAGTTCTTTGTGCTGGCTCTGGAGACACAGAACTGTGGCTGGCACCTGGCAGGAGCCTCAGGTACAACAGACAGCAGACTCAGTGTTTCGAGTGGAGAACTGAGACACCCCAAGGGAACGAGCAACACCCTCCCTCTGTGCTATGCAACAGGTTCCTGCCTGTCCTCTCCCTCCCCACACAAAAGTCACAACTGCAGGTGGCCACTTGCAAACACCGAGAGCTCAAGATCACACACAGGGACCCCAAGCAGCCTGAGGCTACAATATAATGACCCTCTCCATAGAAAAGGCCCCCAAGATCTTGCAACAGAGGGAGGCCACAGACTGCGCACTCAGAGCAGGGGAGTCAGGCAGCTGTCTCCAGTGCAGAGCTCGACTGTGCCCTCGGCCACACATCCCAGACACAGCAGCCAGAGCAGGCTAGGTCAGACTCACCCATCGATGATGAGCTGGTCATAGGCTGCAGGCTTGTCACACACAGGGCACATCCACGTGGGCTTTTTCTCGTTCATTTGCAGGTAGAACACAGCGTCAAAGCACTGCAGGTGCGCGCAGGTCTCCGCACGGCAGGGCACCGAGAGCCGCATCTTCACCAGCTTGAGAGCAGACAGAGGGGTGTGAGGACATTGCTGTCACACAGGGGCCACCCACACAGCTGGGGACAGGCGGGACTCACGGGGCAGATGAGGGACACTCGCACTCCGGTAGTGGCGATCTCGCTGTCGGGGTCTAGGCGAAGCTTCTCCTTGACTAAGTGAGGTTACAGAGGGGACGGGACTGTCAGAGGCCAGGCTCTCTCCACAGCTGAAGGAGACTGAAGGTCTCACCTAGGCCAGGCTGACCTCTACCTCCTGACTGCGTGCTTGGAAAGTCACTTCCAAGCAGCCTGAACCCCACAAATCCTGATCACCCCACAGAGGGCCTCCCACATCTGCTGAGGTTTTGATAGGTCGCATGGCATTTCTGGAAAGATCCAGGAGGCAGCTTCCCATACAGATGTGCTGTGGCAATATCACGGCCTTGAGGGGTCAGCTGAGAACACCGCGCAGAGGCCACAAAATCTGTACTTCAGGGCAGCAAAAGTTCTCTCTCAAGCCTTGTGACTCGTGGGACACTGAGCAGTCACACAAGGTACACCCGTGACTGCTGTCTCAACTCTGATTAAAAACAATAGAGCTAGTGGCCTTGACCTGCAATTGCCCAGGTATGACAACCCCAGCAGGCCTTGGCCACCTCCCAGCTAGGGGTCATGACAGCTCCCTCCTCAAACCAGGCTGAAACCTGGCCAGGGCAACCCTGGCTGGGAGGGGCAACAACAGGCCTGATGCCTCCGAGGTGGCTGAGGCCTCTCTTGCAAAGAAACGGACACTGGGGAGAGGTCCAGAGCCAGCGAGGCCCCATCAGCTAAGGGTGGATGGGTACTGTGGGTGGCCTCTTAGGCCTGTTGAAGGGGCCATGTCTTTCAGAACTATAGTGTCTCAAATTAAAAACACCCATCACAAGCTGGGTGGTGGTGCACACCTTTAATCCCAGCACTTGGGAGGCAGAGGCAGGTGGATTTCTGAGTTCTAGGCCAGCCTGGTCTACAGAGTGAGTTCCAGGACAGCCAGGGCTACACAGACAAACCCTGTCTCGAAAAACAAAACAAAACAAAACAAAAACAAACAAACAAACAAAAAACCCATTCCGTCATAGGAACAGGACACTGGCCTGGCGTCTCACATGCCCATCTTGCTCCCCAGGTTCCTCCCGCCTTCACTTCCCTGCCTGTCACTCATCATGCCTCGTGCCCACAGACCAGGGCCAGACCTTGACCCCAGGTTGGTCTTACATCTTTGTCCCACATCTGTCACTGCACACCCTAGCAGGAGGTCGCAGCAGGCACGGAGAGGCCCTGCAGCCTCTGCCACTCACCCAGAGCCTTGCAGAGCTCAGGGTGCTTCACCCCGATTGTCTTCAACCTCTGCAGCAGGTCTGAGGAGGTCAGCTGTCGCACCAGGTACAAAGCCACGGAGTAGCTCTGTAGACAGAGAAGCCGTGTCAGCGAGTCAGCGTGGGAGGACGCGGTGCTGGGTGCAGGGTGGACGGGGTGAGCGTGAGGCAGCGTGGGAGGACACGGTGCTGGGCGCAGGCGCTCACCTTGCCGTAGTTGCCCCAGGTGACAGTGATGCGGTTGGTGGCCGAGGACAGGTACATGAGGTGAGTGAGGTTGATGGGGCGGCAGGGCCTCTTGGGCTCCACACCAGGCTTGTTGGAGGGATAGTAGCCCTGCAGACAGAGCTGTGCTCAGTCCAACCAGGCTCCATCCCTCCCCTGTGCCTACATCACCC